AATAAATTTTATGATTTTTTAATTTCATAACTAAAATTAATTTAAAATATTTGGATTTAATTTTTTTGAGCATGAAGCAAGTTTTTTTTTACATTATTGAGCCAACACTGAATGGGGAACCTGTCTTGTCATTTTTTGTCCTATGCTTGGTTCATTATCTTGCGATGTTGATAGGGGCACTGTTTCTCTGCTGTACCGCATATCGTGGTAAGGTAGACCTAAGTACAACCCAGGGGCGGCTCAACAGTGGTTTTAAATACACCCTGTGGGCCATAACATATTTCTGTCCATGATTGGCTCATTCATTACATTGCGATACCTGTCTTGTCATTTTTTGTCCCATGCTTGGTTCATTATATTGCGATGTTGAGAGGGGCACACAGCTTCTCTGCTTTTTACGGCATATCGTGGGAAGGTAGACCTAAGTACAAACCAGGGGCGCAGCTGTAATTTTAAATAAGCTTGCGTTTTAAGTGCCATTTTTAAAGAAAGTTTTAAATTTTTAAATATTATAAATAATTTATATAAAAAAATTAAATTCATAAATACTTTAAGCCTTAAAAAAAAATCTTATCTAATAAAAAAAATTAAGGCATCACTTAAAAAGAAGAACTCATAATTTATAGGTGTATAATAATATATAGTTCAATTAATATTTTCAATCATTCTTCTCTCCGTCAGGTTCAAATATAATAACAAAGATTGAATATAAAAATTTAAATTAATTATTAATATTAAAAATTAAAAATATCTTATTTATCGTTTCTACTTTAAATTAAAAAATATCTGGGCCGCTCCCGGCCCAATCAGCCTTAACCAACCTATTTTTAAATGATAACGCGGATCGTGCAGACGGTAGACTCATTTTCAATAAAAAGAAATAACTAAATTAAGCCAACTGACTGATCAATTTTAAAGATTTTATAGGCCGGCAAACTGGAGACAGAACTGTTCCTTTAAATGATGTCATTTTATATATAAAATAATTTTATTTTATGTGTAAAATGACATCATTTTGGGAACAACACCCCCATCCCTGCTACGCAGTAGATGAGCCCTTGCACATGCTGTGCAGCAGAGGAGCCCAACCGTGCTAAGAGTCTCCTCGTTTTATGAACAATTCACTGTCATTGTCATATTCATATAAGCTTAAAACAACATTATTATAAACTTGAATTAGAATTTTACATCGAAGAGGAAAAATGATTATAAAGATTGAAGAGATCACTTATTACACAGTACATACATCAAATCAAATCAAAGGCAAAAGAAACACACACACACACACAAATACATAATTTATCTCTCTTATTCCTCGTCATGCAGAGTCCTCCCAGTAGCATACAGGAGGAGGGTTGAGTCAGATTATTCCTCTTTTTACACTAGTTATGCTTCTGCAAAAAAACTGTTAGTACCATTACAGTTTGTCAATTGCACAGCTCGCTAGAAAGCTCCAACCATGGTCGCCGACTGTTCACCCTTTCTCTCTATTTCTTCCGCATCTTCATCTTCATCTTCCTCTTCCTCTGCTTCCCACATGAAGTGCGCGTACGATCCCAACACCGTACTGTCATTTCCACGAGCAAAAACAATAGGATTCGAATTAATAACTCAGATCTAACCAGCATAGATGTGTGTGAGAGAGAGAGAGAGATGGAATAAGAAATCATTGAATTGAATTATGAAATTTTGATTCAGAAATCTTGAGGGAGATAGAGAGATGTACCAGTCATCAGGGGAGGCGTGAACAGCCTGATCAAAGTATGATTTGGCTCTATCTTCGTCTCTCTGTGTCTCCCAAATCAATTTTCCATATAATGATAGCACTTCTCCATCTCCAGGACTCGCCAATATAGCTCTACCGTAGTACTCTTCCGCTTTAGCCGTATCTTTTTCCACCTTTACGTAACAGAGAATGAAAATCAATCAAAATCTCAATATAAGCATCAAGTGATCTGAGAATAGATTGAACACTAAGCAGGTGATTTTAAAGTGTACCTCATGCAAGTATTTTCCATAGTTTCTAAGCAGCAGAGAATTCGTAGGATTTGACTTTAGCAGCTCCTGATAATATGCACCGATCTTGCTCTGATCGGAGTTTCCACCACCGGTTCCGAGTTCACAATCACTATCGCCGCCACCGCCAGAATTCCGGTTTTTACCACCTCCAACGCCTGGAAATCCTAGTTCTTCAACCGGAATCGCACTTGCAGGCCAATCTTCTTTGTAATTCCTCCGATCAAAATCTCTCCCCGTCAAAGTCAAAGATCCAATTCCTCTAAAAACCACCTCATCTTCGCTTTCTACATACTCTTCCTCCGGTATTTTCCCCGGAAAAGACAGCGATCCGATGCCGCTCAACTTCGAGAACTTATCGGAAGCCTCACTTTCCAATCTGACAACATCTGTTTCCGACAAAGCCCTTCGCATAACGCTCCGACGATTGACCTCCAAACGCAGACCAATCTTCGGAGAAGAAACGTGGCTTTTCTCACCGGAAATCGAGTCGTGAACGGAGAGAGACACTCTCGGTGAACCGCACACAAACGAAGATAGGACCGGGACTGAACCGGTTCGCACAAGAACGGCTTTCATGGTTTCGAATCGGACTGGTTTGTTGTACTTAGCGCTTCACTGAAGCATTTAAGTTAAATCGATTCGTTTGAGTCTGTATGGCGGATCTTATTTATATATAGCTGGGTGGGCACCGTTAGTTCAGTGACGGCGTTGACGTCGAGTAAACGTAAACGGTTGCGAATTAATGATCAATAATCCATCAAAAAGAGAATTAAAAATATATATATCGAAAAATGATCTCGTAGAGACACGTGGAGTTTGCACGTGACGAGGGCTGCTAATGAAGCGGCGTCACCGGTGGAGACGGCTTTAGTGTGAGCTTTTTTAAGCGTGGACTGGACGGGTGTCTACGTGTCACGTATAAACCGTGAACTGCTTGGGCCACGTGGAAGTATATGGCAATGGGTCCGTTTCACTGTACGGTCCGAGTGCTGCTTCCTTGGGATTCGTATAGTACCATTACCATTAGGTGTCCTTTGGTACTGGAGGAGCCATCACCGGTAGGCCGAAAAATAATCACTATATTAAGTTATATTTAAATTTGATTAAAAAAAATAAATTCGGATGCTAGTTGAATTTCAACTCAATCTAATCAAGTAATCATTAAATTAAATAAGAAATATATATTTATGAAAAATTCAAATATTGAATAAGTGGAAAAGCAAATTTTACAAAATTCAATAATCCCGTAATGTTATTAGAATCTAAAAATTTGATCAACAAATTCAATAACCATATAAAGTTATTGGGACCTAAAAATATGACATAATTTGTTAATTTAATAATGTGATAGTAACATGATCTAATAAAACTGTTATGGTAGCACATGTTAGATTTTTTCATTGGAACTCTATCGCTTGACGTATCGTTAGTTTAACAATGCTAGTTATTAGGTCCCTATAGCGAGTAAATATTGGATGTAATTATTTAATAAAAAAATTACAAAATAGATAAAATGAAACTCATTTCTTATCATGGAGGTGATTATGTTATTATGACTGGGTAGTTATGAATTTTACCAGAATTTCAAGTGATGTGGCACAATAATAATCATGATGTGGCACAATAATAGGCATTCAATAGTTGGTAAAAGTTTTTGAGACATACTGATCTTATGATTTACATTGATTTATAATTCAAAATTTGATATAAAATTTAGCGGATGTAGCATTGTTGTTTAATTTTTTGTAAACGGTTATATCATGTAACACTACAGGCGTGGTGTAACGATTATATCCAATATTTTTTTTTTCACCAGTAACACTAATCATGACCCAAAAAAACACTTATCTAAGTAAATAAGTGAGATTTATTTTACCTTTTAGAAAAAAAAAATGAGATTCATTTTATTTATTTTTTAGATTTTATATTAGATTGTGACACCATGCTGTTTAAAAAAAAAAAAGAAAGACAGAGAGCACTACTCTGTTCATTGCCATATAAAGAACCGTAGAGGTTGATTGGCTCAGCTTACTACCCACAAGTGAGAAAAGGAGAAGAAAGGTATTGTTTACGTGCACTTCATTACGGACTAAATTCACCCACATCTACACTCAACCAATAAACATGTTTAATGTATAACTTTCACCCTCTTAAATAAAATGAGTTTATTAGCATTATAGTTTTATTCAATTTGACTTTATTTTAGATCGTATACCATAAATTTAAATAGATTTTACTGTTTAAAAGTTGGCGATCTAACAATAAAATTGAATGAAATTATAATAAATTTTCTGTGATCCTTTTCACCGCCCTACCCCCGGTTTTCCCTCCTGCAAAATGAGCATTGATACCTCATGCTTGACAGAGCAGAGTCCAAACTATGTATACTCATTCGTGCTCCATATTCTTCTACCAGATCACCTTATTTGGCCATGGAATCGCATCTAATAGATAATCAATTTCACATATTTGACTTTACGAAACAATGCATCTTTCCCTAAAATTGTTTGGTGTAGAGGGGATTGGGTTTAAATGGGGTAGATCTGTCATTGATGAGGAGAGTATAAGATAATATGGACTTACTAGTTTCATACTCGACAATTTAACCGAATATAGATGAATTTTATGAGACGGAATAGCGTCCACTCAAAATTTTCAAAGATATAAATTAACTTATCATAGTCTCGCAATTGAAAAATTTTAGGTGTAAAACTGTCTAGAATCATGATTGTCGCATTCAGCTCTATTCCGTAGAGAGGAGGGCTCATCCGACCTAATCCTACTTTGACCCTGGTATTTCAATGGAAGATTCACATGATCGATGGGGTGGTAATTCATTAGATTCGACTGTCGTGACCTTGCAATTCAAAACATTAAGCTATTATATAAAAAATCTTGTAAGATTCTATAACCCTAGTGGCATATACCATCCCTTAATTGATGTGAGATGTGACAAACTGTTGCCATATCCCTAGTAAGTGAAACCAAACCAATAGTAAGTGAAACCAACGTTCCAAAACCAAAGTTCGGTTACACTTGGTGGAATGAAGTGATGTGAGATGTGACAAACCGTTGTCATATCACTAGTAAGTGACACCAATACCACCAGTAAGTGAAACCAACGTTCCAAAACCAAAGCTGGGTTACACTTGATGGAATAGAGTCGCATATGATTGTGGGTTTTGTTGATTCTCTTTTTTTAATGTGTGTGTATTGGAGAGAGGAGAGAGGAGAGGGAATCACTTTCGAAGGAGATAGAAGGGGATAAAAATAAGGTCGTTTACGTTTGTTTTAACGGCTCACGTTACGATCCATCCTTTCTGCCCCATTCCCTTGTGTTTCCTTCCCCATACTTTCTCCCCCATTCCTTTCTTCAACGCCAGCCCCAAGTTATCTTTCCTTCACTTGAGGACCACCTTTCCCCATGTGATGCCAAGTTCGAAGGCCTTTAATTATTTCTTCTGTGGAAGGCCGGGCCAAGTGGCAGTTGTCTCTATTCACAAAGTATATTTATAAAATAAAACAGGAGTGTGTTTAAATTTTATTCTAATCATATTTTTTCACTCAAAATTATTATTAATCACTTACTTCACCCATCATCCTTTTGTCAAATTCAAACGTCAAATCGCATCACTCGTTTCAATCACATATTTAATTATTTATATATTCTTCCTTAAAAATATTATATTACTCATTTATATGATCTTTTTAATCATTTAATATTTAATTAATTTTGAGTTAATATATTTTAAAAAAAATTTAATATAGTAGGATCAATTTTTTGGACACTCGAATTTTATATTTTATCGTGGCTTCAGGCACAGGTTATGACTATATATATATATATATATGAAAGATATTACGTGAATTTAAAATATAAACTTGATCAATTACAATCATGGAATAGGTAGTGATATTAATAAATATTAAGACTCACAATAAAATCAGTAACAATGATTGATCATGTCTATATTTTAAGTCTGCATGTTAAGTTCATGTAACATTGCCCATTTATATATACACACATACACGTACTGTTTGTTTTGATATTTTTTATATTTTGTTTAGTATGATAAAAAAATAACATATTTAAAAAGTTAAAACGTAGATAAAATGTTATGTTTGATTAAGAAAATAAATATGAAAGATGAAAAACTGAATGACGTAACTTTTATTCCTACTCACCAAAATCTATCAATCCAAAGTTGGTAAAAAAGGAGAATAAAAAAAATTAATTATGTGTGTTAAATATATATTATCTTTAATATATGTAATATATGTCTTTATTTATCTATTATATATTATATGTGCATTAATTATAAATATAATATTAAAATATGCATCTATACTTTTTTCTATCCTTCCACTTTTTTTTCTTAGCAAACACAAGAAAAAAAAAAAAAAATTCTATCCTTCTTACTTGTTATCCCTACTACAAAAATACAAAAGAGGGAACGGAGAATTCACTGAATAATAAAATGTATTATTCCTACTTTCTATCCACCCTACAAAACATATCATTAGAGAAATGATATGTTATCAAGAGGCAATCATCACTATGATGTGTTATCAAGAGACAATTATCACTATTTTCTCCTAAGAACATAATCCCCCGAAAAAAATATATTTTTGTCAATTTCGTTGGCTGGACAACCTTTTCTTCTATTGTTCCTTTTAACATTGGAAAAAAAGAAAACAAAACAATTAGAAACACTGAGGTGAATTCACATAGTTGAAAGGAAAAGATGGCCGAGGATCGTAAATTCAACCGCGAAAGTTTACCAACGCATTTACTAAATGAAAATAAATGATTGAATCAATAAATTTGATTAAAAAAATTAATATATTTCACTAATTTAACCATTCACAATGATTTGATAAATATTGTTAGTAGTATTTTTTTGTTAAACATAGAACTGCTCATTCTTTACCACCCTTTGGATCTTTCCATGACAACAACCAAAAGTGTAGTGGAGAGAAAGGATAGGATAATGCAATCAGCCATATAGAACCAAATTAGTTGTTGCCTCTTGCCTTAGCCTGCAAAGAAAATTGATATTTGCTTAATGTTATCTTCTTTCATCTAATGTTATCTGATAACACTTTTAAAGGGCCAATGACAAATATTGTTTTATAAAAGAAAACGTTTGTTATTTGTTTTATATGGATTAAAAATAGAAACTTATAAGGATGACTTTTTTTATTATATTATCCATAGGCCCTTATCACTTTAGATCAGATTTTTTTTTTTGATTAGACGATGAAGAGTGTTCAGGTTAACTTACGCATACCTTGATTAATTCTCTTTTCAGTCCGATCAAAGACATGTCATCCATATTGAGACTAGGGGATTCATGAGAGATAAATCTCTTATAGTCTAGGCTCAAGAAATTGTCAAGATTCAAATTCTAGATTTACTGCTCTCTCTATTAACATTTCAGAGTTACTACTCTTGATGTTGATGAGATTATGTTAGATGCATGAAAGATTTACAAGAAACTTTTTTCTATCTTTATGGGACCCAAGGAAATGAGAGAGAGAGAACGAGAGAGACTAGAGAACCCTTAGAAGTATTCTTTCTTCTTCTTTAAGATCTTATTCATGGCTTGTGAGTAATCTCTCTACTTCC